TTGAAAGCATAATGTGGCTAATTAGGATCCTTTACTTTTACAAAAGTAGCTGAAAAAGATTTAATAAAAGAGATGATTATTCCTGTTGTAATCTTTCAATACATGTGCCAAAAGTCCGGTGGAGAAGTGGGCTGAGTGGCCTGGACTACTTGGTTGATAAAGAAAAAAATAATAACGTGGCGCAAAAATAAACCCACACGTTGGCTAAGGAATGACATTGACCATTACAACACCTTCCTATACGTGGATATGCACCGAGTTGAACACCCAATCTAAATCCCAATTGATGAATCTTTTCTTCTGCATGTGCATGGTGATGCATGGCTTCCAACTACCAGTGACATTCTCTTTATATAATTTTCTCTGTTTTTTCTTATGTCCTACGAGCCAAACCATTACCAACATACGCCACCTCAACCTTCATTAATTCTGTCCCTCCATATTTTATTATTACAAAACACTAGCTGTTTTTGAAATTCTGTGTCCCCCCTTTCTGCTTTCTTGGTAGCGCAGTAGCTCAAATAGTCATTACCTGTCATTATGCATTACTTAATTTGTGAGGAGAGGGCTTGTTTTGTCTAGTTCATTACTCTCTCCTATTCTAGAATAATCAATTTTTTGAATTAAGAATTTTAAGATTATTTACATTTTTTATTATATTATTTTTAAAAAAGAGATGTCGAGTCACGTTGAAAATATATATATGTTAAATTCCTCCTAATGTTAATTGAGTGCAAATAATTCAAATGAACTATATATGCTTGCTATCCTTGAAAGTAAAGTTTTACCTTGTACTTATAAATGAAGTGGTTTATAAGTACTTACAAGATTAATCAAGTCAAGTCCCACATATTTATTTTGTTTGAAAAAGAATAAGAAAAAGTTTTTGGTAACATAATAGAGAATTAAACAAAACTAATAAAAATTTTTTAAAATAGTTCGTAAATAATTTTTAATATCAATGACATGGCTGTATATATACGTAGGTTGCTAATATTACCTTGATGATACTGTGCCTTTTAGTAGTGAGTTAATTTTATGATAAATTTAAAAAACGACTATATATGTTATTCTAGGACACAAGGTTTGATACTTTAAAATTTTTATAAAAATTCTTAGCTCATGGGGCATGTGTGTCCACTAAAACCTCAAATTTTATAAAAATTTTCATTCAAGATAGAGTTGTAGGTGTGCAACAAAGGCGGCCTGGTGAGAGACGCAATCTGCATGCATGCCAGGTAGCTATAACGGAGCGTGAGTTCGGGGGCCTGAGTCGGAGGTATCAGCACCTGGATCGTAGGGGAAGATCGTGGGGTCAACATGTTTGTGCACGCGAGAGTGGCCAGAGCATCCGAAAGGCGTGTGATGCCAGTGGATGAAGTACCGACACCAGAGTTATACAAAAGATTTTAGGTATCGACATTTAGGCGTGATCTGGAGTGTCCAGAATTTTCCAGAAGCACCAGGGCTGTGGAAATGAAGATAAGACACTGGTCTGGGTGGGCTTGATGGGCCAAGCCCGTATGTAAAACTTATTAGGGCCTTGTATATAATTCTAGAGTAGATGTTTCTAGAATTATATAGGCTAGGCTAAAAGGGAGGAGTGGAGAAGTTTGTAGCAATTGTATATATGACAGAGTTTTGGGAGTATTTTAGAGCCTTCACCTACAGGGTTGATTGGGGCAAACTCTTCGAAAAAATTAGCATAGCAAAATAAATTAATTCTTGTGAACAAAACACGTAAACAATAACAAAGAATGGTGAAGCAGGTAGTTTAGCCGACCAATATTAACGGTTAGTAAAAAATGCAGCGTAGCCAACCAAGCAAAATAAATTTGGCGGTTTAACCAGCCACTTAAGAAGAAAATAAAATAAAATGGGCAGTTTAACAAGCCTCTTAAAAGGAAAAATAAATAATAAAACAACACCAAATTTTATGTAAAAAAACCCCCAAAAACTATTGAGAGAAAAAATCATGGGACAAACTCCGAAGGGTATTCTACTATGTGATAAAATTATACAGAGTATACACTCAAATATTTTCTCTCTTTTGGTGTTTCCCACTCCCCTCAGGATATGATCACAATCTTGATAAACTCACAATTTTATCACTCAATGCATTCTCTCTATGAAGCACACTCACACCTAAGCTTGATGCCTAGCTCTCAACCCCTTTTCTTTCCACCCGAGCTCTCACTTTGCTCACTTGGTGCTGCAATCTTGCTTCTTGCTTGCTTGCACATTGCCTTGCCATTGCATGGGTATTTATAGATGGAGAAACCAACCACCTATGCAATTTTTCTTCACCTCATTAAATGAGGTTTATCTACAATGGTTGAAATAACCATTGTAAATAAGTTAAGAGAGTAAAAAAATGAGAGAGAGAGGTAGAGAGAGAGTGAGAGGACGTGATCATCGGGCAATGGTAAGAAGGACAACACAGAGTAGAGAGCATGAAAGATCTCCAGGTAGAAACCAATAGAGAAAGACTGCACCAGTGAGACAATGGACAGCTCAGCTTGATCAGAAACACTTTTAGAAAAGGAAGATAGGGGAGTCATATCACTAGGGCTTATACAAACAAGCCATACCTTATTTCTTCACAAATTTCCCAAATGAATGGACTTATGCAGACATGTGGTGAACATTTCTAAAATTTGGAAGGGTTTACGCCATATACAGTCCAAACAGGAAAAGCAAGAATGGCAACAGGTTTGGATTTGTGAGATTTCTAGATGTAAAGGACAAAAAAGAGCTAGAAAGAAAACTGGATCAGATATGGATCTAGGACCACAAGCTTTTGGTAAATAGCCCAAAATATGATGATGCATGAAGGGAGGTAG